GAGTGTGTGTGTGTGTGTGTGTGTGTGTGTGTGTGTGTGTGTGTGTGTGTGTGTGTGTGTAATAGGCTTCAATTATCTATCACTATCGGTATGTTCTGATGGATAAAGGGGGAGGTGGAGGGGAGCTGGACAGCATGGACTAAACAATAAATGTGCTCATTGTTATTCCATTGATATTCCAGCACTTGCGCTAAACCGAGTCATTTGGTGACTCTCACGAATGCAGTTTTGTTCATACCACTCCAGACTACCCAAAAACATGGCAGTTTTGTGGCCTCTGTTCCTCACTGACAGATGGTTATGTCCATAATCTACAACGGTCATCATCATCACCATCAATATCTTTCACCCCTGGCAGGGTATAGGCCACATACAAGCTCCTTCCATTTATCTCTGTCCTGGGCTTTCCTTCCAAGCTCGTACCAAGTGAGCTTCATCTCTCTCATGTCCCTTTCCACAGATCTCCTCCCTGTTTCCTGAGGTGGACCCCTGCCTTGTGCTCCCTGTGGGTTCCACTGAAGCGATTGTCTTGTGATGTTTCCGCTGTGCTTTCTGAGGGTGTGTCCCAACCTATACGTTCTTATTCTATCTGACCGTCTAGGTCCCAACTCTACTACAGTCCATGGGCAAAAAAGGTTTCGTCCTCTACCCGAAACCAATAGCTCTTAAACAAACAAACAAAAAATGATGCTAATAAGCACATGTAAAGTCAATTCCACGTCTTGCGAGGTATTTGTGATTACTCTATTCTCCTATCTGTTTGAAAATATCACCAGAAAATGTTTTTTCATTGCAAAGACATCACTATTCTCTCTTCATTTGATATTTAATACATGTCCATTCCACCAATGTTGTTGCACCTCAATATACGCGCACACACACTTTTACGTTTCTTTGATTCCGCACAATTTTTGCATAGCCTGATTTTAAAAGGTCACATCTCGGGCGTCTCTTCGCATAGATCCAGATGAAATATTAATGGGTCAGATGATGCAGAATTTATTTAGCTTTAAAATGGTATGCTGCATGAGTGGGCATTGCAAGGCTATAACACAATGATTGGGTGATTATATTTTTAAGTTTCTTTTGGACACCAGTATATGTATGTATGTATGTATGTATGTATGTATGTATGTATGTATGTATGTATGTAT